AATCACAGACCTTATTTTAATTTTATTTTCTTTAATGGCTAGCTTTCAGCCGAATATCAAAGTAAATTTCATTTGAAGTAATATACACATTGAATCAAAATCATCAAAATAAAACAGGAAATGATGCTAACGTTTTTCATGCGAGGTTTCAAAAATTTTAATAGCTCAAAACACTGATGAAATAACAATAACAATATACTAATTATATTAGAAAACACCTGCATTATTATTAGTGTAGTTTCTATGAATGAATGAGCAAAGATTTTCATCGGTATAACTTTTCGACAGTACAGCTGAAGGGTATTAGAAAAAGAGAGAGGGAGGGAGATTATGGATGTGGATTTTTAGTACCGATGCGCTATTTTTTAATTTTTTCTACTCCCATTTCTCCATATTATTGTAGTAATTATAAGATTACGGCTACTAAAGAAAATTTACTCAAGAATTAATTCTAGAAGTTCACCTCAGTGAGTAACTTTCAAAGATAATTTGGTCTTCAAAATGATTGCTCCAACCAACTGTGACTTTACTTCTTTTCTTTTTTTTAAAAAAAGGAGAGGTAGACTAAATAATGTATATGGAAGTAACTTCGAGATTGCACATATAGCTGAATTGATTTGACATACACAAAGAGAAGCGCTGAATGATAGCATAAATGGTTAATTTCTTATCATCATTCCAATCTTAGAAGTATAGGTAAGTACTAGAAACTCTGATTCGTTGAAAGTTATGTGTTCATGTTAGTAAAAACTAATTGTTGTTTCTCAACTCAGATGTAAAATATACTGATTCACTGACTAGTCACTGATATCAAAAATGATTTCACTGGGAATGATATAATGGGAATATGTATTGATAGTAACATGTAAACTACACCTTGCACGCTTATTTTTACTGATAATTTCCTAAAAATTCAAACATGAGGGATGTGAAATAGCTTTCATGTTTCAAATATCATACTGCATCCCAACGGTGTGAGATTTGAAGCATGAAAGCTATTTCATTGCATCAGTTCTGGGAACTTTTTTTGGACCAATGAAATTCTAATTGAAGACGATGCCAGTGTTGAAGATTAAAAATTATGAAATGGAGGGTTTCGACGTTTTCTGCTGGATTGATAAGTAAAAAATTTAAGCTATCTCTTATGAAAATATGAACTTTCATCTAAAATCGAAGTCAGAAACTGTGAAAAACTAACTTAAAATAGGAAAAGGGTGAAAACGACGAGAGATTAACTATAGATCTAAAAAAAGGGAAAAAACTACAGTTGAATTTCAGATATTCCACTTTCCAAATTTAACAACTGAGTCATCTCAATACACAAAGCATGTACGAACAGAAGTTTGCTTTTGAATTGATTACGAAAAACAGCATGAAAATAGCGGACTTCCGAGAATACAGTGTTCAGAAATGAGCATTTCAAAAAGTTGAAATGAATGAAATATGCCAATGGGAAGTGGAAGGGAAAGGAGAACAGGCGGTGATGCAATCCTTTTGCATGCAAACTATCACCGCTCTATTTACGGCTGGAATATGCTGCTTCGTGAGAAGTGCTAAAATTATACTAGCATTCCCTCGACAACCGTACTGGTTTCTAATTTGCCAACATTCCAAATGAAAGAAATGTGAAATTATGAAACCTCAAAAATATGCAAATTTTCAATATCGAGAAATGATATCTGACGGCAACAACGTTAGGATTATCAAATTGCTGCAGATAGGAAACCCATCTTACAATTAGAAAATAAAATTGTTTTGTCTACAAATCATCTCCTTCTTATCGAATTTTAGATCTTAAGGATGAAGACTCGAAAAAGTATTGCGATGATTTCAGGAATTTTTACACGAAATAATTTCATTGTTGGTTAATAATAACTACACAATAATACATCGATGACCGAGAAAACATACGTTCTCATTTATGCTAATATCTTTAAAGACTGCGCACCAGAAAAGGAACGGTATGCCTATCTAAGTTACTTGATTTGCAGATGGATTTGCACTGATTTGGACGGCGCTGAAAAAGCAAAAAAGTTCGGTGAATGTCGTAAAAACCCCTCCTCCAGTATTGCTTTTCCCTTCAACTCAATAATGAAATTTAACGGGGAATTTCAAATGTGATTCTTTGTCTTCAATTTATGATATAATTAAAATTCCAACATTTCCTCATTTATTTCTCCACCACGTAAATTGGAATTTTTATCACATTCATCTAAGGAAACAACATTTATCGTCCATCATCCATCGGTGATCAGTCACTCAATGAGACACTTTTATATCAGTTATTTAAGATCAATAAAACAGAATAACGAGCGTAATAAATATGAGAGCCTTATAAAAAAATAAAATTTCAGACCAAGAAAACAGAACTTGCATTTTTGAATCTCATCCTTTTAAATGTATTTTTGCCTTAGTCAACAGCAAGAGACACTACTATGGCTGTACAAGAGGAAATTTTATAATTTTTTTGATGAGTATTAACCCAGGAAATATCGGAAAGCAGTGATTTTAGAGATTAAAAGTAAATAAGGAATGAAACTTTAAAAATAAAACAAACCCATACCCATTCGTTTTCAAAAAAGGCTTTCATTATCCTCAAAAAATTGGGACTTTTATACAAAAAATTTTGCTGATAACAGTTAATGTTTTCGTGAACAGTTTCAATTGGACCAACACGAATTTTTTTGTTGGAAAACGTTTTAAAATTTGTATGAGCCCAGAAATTTAAAAAAGGAAAATGTAAAGTATAAGCCTTACTCCTTGAAAGTCTGCAGTAAATATACGACTGCTAACATTTTATCATAATACAGCAGCAACAGAAACAACGGTAACCCTAATAGTATCAAAGTGCTTCAACAGTTAATCAGTTAGAGTATTTAGTCACAGCACTCTGCCAAACAGCAACCACAACAACACGCCAGCAGTGCCCACAAACAGCATTTACTCGAGTCGTAACCTGAACTTCGAGGCGGTCCTGTTGTTTGTCTGAATGATGAAACAATTAAATTGACTTTAATTATTTAAATCCAATCTGTTAAAATAAATGAAAAAAAATTATTTAATTATTGCTGAAATGGTGCAAAATTGTGTTCAAGCGGTAATTCGCAGGGTTTTCTTGAGCAGAATAAAATTTCATGCAAAAAAAGAATCGGAATGGAACAATAAAGATGATGGCCGATTAACACCAGCAATTACTTAACGCAACTCTTGCTTGCAGCACGACTAGCATAAAGATTATGACAGGCCACCCAAAAACACCTGTTGTCAGATATTTTCAGAGATTATTATCAAACCTTAATCACCAGCATGAGTTCTCCGTTTGATTCTAAAAATATTTCCTATCGTGCTTCAAAATCACCCATCGCTTACGTGTCTTATGTGTAAAAGTTATGTACAAATTTGACAGTAAAAGGAAATGATGGACAACAATGCTTTCTAATTTTTCTTTCTTTCTTCGGAAACTGAAGTAATTCGATAAGCATACATAATGGGCGGCTGATGACCATAACCATAACCAAAGGTTGGCTGCGGTTGATTCGGATAATATGGCTGCTGCGGTTGTGGTGGATAATTGTAGCCCGGTCCACCATAATTTTGCTGCGGTGGATACTAAAGGAAGGATAACACTGATACAATAATTAAACAATTCAACACCATCTAACAACGATTTTATTTGAGAATTTCCTTTTAACTGGTCAATTTTTGCTTTATTTAAATTTTTCCCCACACTGTATTATTTTTATATTATTTCAACACAGCATGTTATTAATAGATACAATCACTGCCACCCAATAACAGTATCATATTTTCTTTTCTTTCTTCAATAACCTTTTTTTTATAATAATATTCAATCACTGTTCTAAGAGAATGATTGAAAATATTCCAGCACTGTGTAAATGAATATTCAAAAAAAATAATGTAAAAATGCTCAGAATAAAAATCGCTTTGCATTTTCTTGAAGAAAATACTCTGCTAAGAAAAAAGGAATTTCTGAGAGAAAACACTGAAAATTCGATTAGTATTTGTGGAACGCTTAATCAAAATTTTGTGCATATATTTCAAAATAATTTTGGAATTTGTATTTCAAAATAATTTCGCAATTTTAGACTAGGTCCTTACCCAATTGTAATTAAAAAATCTTTTCTGGAAAATATATCACGAGCTACCCGGAAATTTTCTAATTTGCATGACGTTATGGTTTTCGTCGATATTATTTAAATTGATTTTTGATTTGTTTGAATTTATATCGAAAGTTCACACAAATAATGTTACAAACCGTCCACAAGTTGCAGAAATATAATATTTAGAATCAACTAACCTGATATTGCGGTGACGGATATGGTGGCGGTGCCGACATTTTTTTAACTGATAATCCAATTCACTCTACAAATTATTTCTTAAAATCGTTTTATTTATATAAAAATTACGGAAAATAGAATAAGCGACGGCAAACAAGAAATAAACTGATAACATTAGTTTGTCATTCAGCAAAGTAAATACTTATACTCTACAACAGAATTTCAGTAGCAATGAAGGCTCATTCGTTGCGGATGAGAGTAATCCAGGATGAGGACAGGATGAGAGGAAAGGATAACGATCGGTAGTAATAGATTAGTCTGTGCTACAGTTCAATTCATATAGAAAAGTCAAGGTCAACCAATTTTTATAATCTTGGTGACCGTATCTACATTTGTTACTAAAAAATTAAGCAATTGAAAAGATGATGAAAAGAAAGGTCCCACACTGTTATTAAAATTTTTTTTACTTCTAAATGATCAACAAAATAAAATGACTAAACATTGTTGAGTGGATGCTATCCTATTCCTTCAAACAAAATAGCGGTAGTACAGTCTTAATTTTTGGCTGTTGAATCGAACAGTACAGAATAAAGATTGCTGTAAGATGAGACAAGGTAATTGGATAACAAAGGTGTTAATTGCACAATTCTTGTGAAAGATCCTTTTTAGACCTGCAAAATGACAACGTATACGTAAAGTTTCACTGAAACAAATAGTACTCAGCAGTAATTGACGTTTATGTGATCTTCTGTGCTGCAGCCTTCCAGAACAGATTGGTGAACGAGTGCTTCCTGATCGATAGACCAATCATAACTTGAAGACTTCAAGCAACTTCAGAAAATCCCAAACGGATTTGGAGGCCTGTGGCATACAGAAGCAAAATTCCATGTTCTTCCGTTTTCCCTTCCCCTCCCGCAAAGGTCTTGTCGTTGGTATAAGGTCTAATTTTTTTGCACTCCTGTAAAACGTCCGCTCCCCCCTCGCCCCCGCTCGTGATCACAAAAGGCCTCGCCAACTTTGTTGCCTCCCGACATCGTCTCTTCTGTTTTTGTCATTTGAATGATGAAAACATGAGTCGTTTGCAAAAAATGTGAAGGAAGAAATCAGCATGAGATACTCGAGATTCAATTTCGTTTTGAATTCAAATAACTTCCAAAACAGATTTCACAGAATAAAGAAAAACCTCCCCGAGAATTGCAACAATCCGACCGTCCTGACAGGAAGACGAACAGACATACAGACACATTTTCTGCACTTTTTTGAAAAGAAAAAAGCAAAAAAAAAACAAGAAAAACAAGGCCAATGACAATTAAATCGTGCTTCAGGATAGAAAAATACGAAAACATCGGTAGAAAGGTGATCAATTAAAGCGACACAAAATACATCCCCTATAGCAGCTGCCAATGGAGTGTGACTTCCGATGGATGATGATACTAGTTTTCAAAGTGAACTATGGAATAGTGACATGGTAGTTGTCATATTCCATCACGGCGTATAAATATCAAATAATGGATGGATAAACAACCATCTTGACTAGAGTTTACAAGCGATTCGGATGATGAAAAAGAATGAAGAGTGGTGTATGGAGGAATAAAAACACACATTTATTCGTGAATTAAGATGATAGGTGTGTACACCTGTGGTGTCTAAATAGTCAAAGTTTTGGAATGTATTACGGAATACTCTATCACCTATTCATGGAACTGTCTAATTATTACGATGAAAAAGGCGTGACATTTAGCGTAGAGGCCGACCGGCTTATAAAGTAGGTTTGAAGGGAATTGGAAGGGTTAGATGAATCATACTGACAACAATAGACATGCCATTATCAGCGTCACAGGCATATATGCAGGTAGTGGTTGCGATCATTGATCTTCCTGGAGAGGCAATTGCGCTTTTGGTGATTCATTCCGTCGCACATCACCGTTCTGGACTACAAACAGCACATAGAAGCAAATTCTCAACATTTTTCAAAAGACAAACAAGGCAAAAAGTACATATAAATCGTTTAACAGATAACTCCGTTTTTGCATTGTCAAACGAGGAGAGCCGTTGTTTCACCGGGGATACTAATAAATGAAGCAACCATAGCCACCACAAGTAATAGTTCGAAATGATCTCGATTTTACTCAGGTTATATTAAAACTACAGGTTAGCAATTATAGAATAGAGTCTTGTCCCACAAAATATTGTTATGCCTATGTTTGAACTCTTCTTTCATTCTTTTCTACCAAAATTTTTCATGTCTTTTTTACCAGTTGTCTTTGCCGGATATTTAGCCAATAATGCTTCATGCAAAGAGAGTAGATAAGTTGCAAACTTTGGCTTGGATATCCTGTTAAAGTACGGAGTCATGATAGCTGGATAATATTAAACCACGGAAGAATCATTCAGAGGTTTAAACAGGCTGAGAATACAGCACTATGTTGACACTGTGCGCTTAAAACACCTCGCATCATCTAATTTTCAAATCTGAATGTTTGAAGTTTGATACACTGTAACATTGTCGCTCACAGTTGCAGATATACATTTTGCAACGATTGATGAACTAATTAATCACTCATACGAAATCCGATAAACTGAGAGTGAAAATCAATAAGCTTATCAAGACACATGCTTCTTCTTGGTAATGATTTTATTCCATAAAAGTTAAGAGGTTGAGCAGTGAGCAAACGTGACTTCAATATTTCAATAACGAATTTATTAAACTGCGCAGTGACCTCACATGCATGATACAGAAAGCCGGTTTATAAGAACAGTGTAAAAATGACTGGTCAAAATGATAAACTACATATTTCTGGTTCACTAACAATTAGAACTCGCTATGACAACATCGGTCCAACAAATTATTGTAGGAACATTTCCCATTAACTGTCCCATCTTATCGTGCGGGTGGCCTGTGATTCAAAGTTCTCTGTATCGGATTTTCTCCAACGCAGCAATTTTTCAATGAAGAAGATCGAATTTCAACTCAAAGATTTATAAAAATTACCAGAATATTCTATAATTAAGAAAATATTGTTGGGCGAATGTTAATGATTGGTACCTAAATCCTTCCTTAAAGCTCGGTGCAGGTAAAAGTGTGCTGTGTTTAAGCAGAGTAACTTATATCACGAAGCCACTTGAAACAACAAGAATTCCAAGAGATTTTCAAATTTAAAACGTGCAATTTTGCAGAATGCCAACCCTATTCTAAAAAAATATCCTAAAAACGGTCTCTCATTTCACTTTGAAAGGATCTAAAAGATGAATTCTTGATCCAGTCGAATTTTTTTTTCAAAAGCATACGTAAATTTAGCAAAATTTCTATTCGTTGAGGAAGTATTTTAATTCGAACAGTATTTTGGTTTGACAAAGCATTAGATAAAATAATCAGGTAGTTCTTTTCTCCTTTACTTAATGGCACGCTTGATATGCTATTGCTTGCTGAGACAATATGCTATTCTTTTATGAAACAATGAATTTTACCAAATATTTTTGAATTAACGTACCCGACTGGGTAGCAAACAAAACGAAATAGTTTGTTAAATAGAAAAGAGTAGTTGTTAAATGGAAAAGAAAGGAAAGAAAAAGCACATGTAAAAAGCACATATTTTTTTAAACTGAAACGGCATATCCGTTGGAATCATAAGAATGCAAGGGATGAGGACGTCTTCATCTTTGAAAGGTCTTGTCAAGATTGTTGCTTCTACGACGTTGCTCATCAATTTTTTTACTACAACCCGCGTGCTTACAAAGCTTTGGCTGGTTGATATTTCGCAACATGATAATTAACATGCCGATTTTCAACTACAGTAAATGCGGTCGTATCCCTGGCAGATCGAGTGAATTCAAAAATTCTGTTGGGTAATTAACCGCTTGTCTGTTTCCGTAACAGTGTCGAAGGGCTTGCATGTGACTGCCTTACTTTGGATGTTAGACTGAATAATACTTTCAAGTTCGTAGACGTTTTATTTCTGACTGCAAGAATAACTCTATCATTCAGTTAATCGTGATTCTTAAATT